TTTTTTTTTTTTTTTTTTTTTTTTTTTTTTTGGGGAAGAGGAGCCTGAAATCCTGGCTGCATTTAGGTGGTTACTGGGAACTCCAGGGCACTGACATCAGATTGTTCCCTTGGGTCTGGACTGTGCATGGCTTCCCCATGCTGTTCTGCACTGGGGACAGTTCAGTTCAGTGTAACATTAATGGCAATATAAGCAGAGCTCAGTCCACTGATGGCTAAACAAAGCAGAAAAGGCTTTTTCCATTCTTTTTCCCATTTTTGGCTCTGCAGGCCAGATCACAGTGTTCTCAGTCAGTTTCCTTTTATCTTTACACAAGCAAAAATTTTCTTTGACTTCAGCAGGGATCTGCCTGAGTGAAAAATTCAGCAAATTTTCACGGAAATTATTCCAGCTTGGTCCTGATGTAACCAAGCAGACTCTGGTAAAATAGGATGAGTTCAGGACCGAGTTGTTCCTTTTATTTACTACTATATATTTTGAATGTGATGCTGCATATTGCCTTCCAGCCCAGCAAGGTTTCGGGTAGCACAGCTAAAGGTGCAGCAGTGACAATGAGAGAACAGAAAAGCAGCCTGTTGCAGTGGCCAAACTGCCAGGCTCACAACTATTGTTGGTTTCTAAGGTTACTGGAATTGCCTGAGCCTAAAAGAATGTCTTTGTGTCTCTTTTTTAAATCCTTTGTGATGCCTGCAGAACTGGGGGAAGGGAAGAGGTGAAGGGGGGGGTGGAGGAAGGGGGAGGGAGGTGGACAGTTCAAATCTGCCATATCCTGCTAATTCAGGGAGCAAACGGTGTTGAGACTGCCCTTCCCTTTGTGTGGTCACTAAAAAGGGTGAACAAATTTGGTTTTGGTCTAAGGCAGGAAAAGAACATATTCCAACTGTTTATTATTTTTATTTGTGCTCTCTTGCTCCCCTCTCCCAAGCAGTGACCAGTGTAATGAACTGTGTTCCTTCTGTTCTCTGGGACGGAAATATAAGAGGTGTACAAAGCATTTGAATTCCTCTGTGATTCCAAATGTATGGTTATTTTTTAAAAGTTCTGCATCCATTTCATGCAGCTGCAGACAGCTTCTGTAGCATTTATATTAGCTGGACAGGAGAACTTCAACACCCATTAGGTCATTAAAATTATTTTTGAGTAGGCATGCTGGAACAGGCTGTAATCTGGGGGAAATGGAAATAGCTGGGCTAATAAACCATTGCTCTGTTCTTGCAGTGATTTTTTTTTTTTGTCCTGTTATATCACTGCTTAGAAAATAGCAATGCAGCCCACTGTTGGTGTTTGTGGCATGGACATCAGCAGACAGTGCAGGGGAGATGTTTGTCTGTGATGAGTTGTCTTTCAGAAATGTTACAGGTATCATGGGATCATTCCTGCTGTTGCTTAGATTTTATACATCATGTGAACAGCAATTAAGCTGAATGCTTTCAAAATGGAAATCACTGACAGAAGGAGCTTTAATAGGTTAGTTATTAAGAAATATGTGATGGTTTCCCTTAGCTTTATGCACACTGCCTGTGACATGACTGGGGAGAGAGGTGGTTAGGGAGCCTTTAAAGAGATGGCTGAGTAGGTTGGACAATGAAAACGGGGACACTTGGGTACCATAGCTGGTTCTGTGGCTGGTGTACAACATACACTGGGGAATGACTTCCCATCTCTAAGATACTGTTAGCTCACTGTAAAACTGAAATAGTCATACTGGGCTTCTTTCTTAATGCTTCCAAAAAGTGCTACAGAGAGAAAGAAAACCCCACAAATGTTGTGATAGTGTATTCATGTTAGGCACATAGCCCTCTCTTCTTGAGACTTTTAGGCTCTGAAACTAGTTGGAGAAGTTGCCAAGTACCTGTAGAGTCTCAGAGAACAGCTGCAATACAGCCCTTCCCTGTCCACCTCTGAGGTCTAAATAGAAACAGCAGGTATAATGCAGGAGGTGCGTGCAGGTGAAGGGCTCTCCTGTGGCCCACTGCTTGTTCATAGTTTTTTGCTTTTTTAAGTGGTTCCGATTCCCTTTGCATTTCTAGTATTGCTGGAGGGAGTATTTCAAGATTTTACTAATCTGTGACATAACACCTTTGAAAAACAGCCTAATTGTAAGCAGTTTTTTAGTTCAGCGGTTAGAGAAACAATGCTCTTTTTCTCTCTCTCTCCTCCCCTCCCCTCTCTCCCCCCGAGTCCTCTCCCAAATAAAGCTGCCATGCAGGGAAGCACAGAAGCTCCCAGGCTCTCCTGTCAGAAATAGAGCACCGGATCTAATTTAGAATATCTGCTGACTCCTCTAGTCCAGAGTGAAGACTATTTTTGCTCAGTGACTTGCTCTAGACATTGTGAAGCTTGAAAGCTCTTGCTGTTATAATTGCTGTCTTGTTGTTGGGCTCCTTTCTTTCTTTGAAAACCTATATTTAAAACAGGAATAATGACTGCTTGTAAAATCCTTTAGTTCTGAAAGAGATTATAGTAGTAACAATGCACTGTTTATGGCATTGGGCAACAGCTAAAACTCCTGTGAACATGGATAACAGTCAGCCGGTCATGCTGCGTAGAGTGAAAGGGCTGTTCTGTGTGGACCTAGCAGACTTGGAGGTAGGTGGTGAATACAAGCTTCGAGTTTGTGATCCTGTTTGCTCTCTGTGAATACACAATTCTGAGGGGTAAAGAAACTTTGAACCCCTACCCCAACTTGTGCTATTTCTGTTTCTTTGTTATTGTTCCTCTAATCAGTTGCCAGACAGATTTTTATCATAGAAAACAGTGGCTAGTGTGGAGCAGGCTCTGCTTTGGAGCTGGGCTAGTATTGTTCTGTAACTTTCTTTTTAAGTATTTTTCTAGGAAGTGCTAGAGCCCTTGTTTTTGGCTAGGAGTCCTAGAGATTGATTAGCACTGTGTACATGTAGCTTAATACCGTAAATGATGCATAAATGGTTAGATATGGTGGATTGAAACTGGGAAAAGAGATACTTGAACTGAGAACTAGAAAAGGCAGGACAAGGAACCATACAGACAGAAGATACATTTAAGCTGCGTAGTGGTCTGCAGTGGGTAAAAGTTGCTCTGAAAATGGACCTAGAAAAATATACTGATCTGGATTGTCCTGCTCCCCTTGAAAGTTGGAGTCAAGAATTGAGGGGGGAGTGGGAGGGAAGGAGGATGTGAACAGAGCGCTGTCCCCACTCTTAGGCTGGTGGAAGAAGTCTCTTGCAGAGCTACTTACTAGGTTCTGGGCTTGGGGCATGTCTACCAAAAAAAAAAGATGAAAAAAACCTCTATTGGCTTATTTTCTTTAGCACAGAAAAAAATCCTCTCTGTCTTTACCATTGTTCTTCCCAGAAATGTCACTATTATATTTGTTCCCACATATAACTTGTCACCATCTTAAAAAGGAACTTAAGAACATAGTCATCTCCTTATCATCTTCTGAAACATGTCTGAACCAGCCCTGCTCACCATGTAGCAGGGGTTCCAGTCAATCAAGTTTGGAAAGCTGTTTTTAGAGTAGATAACTGTCATGCACAGGGAGGGGCAAATCCTGCCCTAGTGATTGCTGGCAATAAGCAGAACTTTGCCACCAGGGAGACTATGTGGGAGCAGATGAAACAGTACTGTGGCTGGGTCTGGTTTACGGCTGTTGCATTTGGGGAATGTATTTGACTCCCAGTGTATGTATTTTTTCGTAATACATCCTTTATGTATTATGAAACTTGTCTTGTTCCCCATTTATCATTTATGCCAAAGACCTACTTTCTTGTAAGTAGTCGAGAGCGGTTCCTGAGCAAGCCAGGGGCAGGCGCTTGGCACAGTGGGGAGCAGAGCAGGAAGGGCTCCTGCCTTGAGTAGGAATTGTCTGTTAAGAGTCTTCTGCTGCCCCGGTGAAAATCTGTAGAGGATGAGGCATTGGCATAGGGTTGATACTATGAGACCATGGCAGATGGTTATACTCGCTTGGACTATGATCTAGCTTGTAGCAGATCGTGCTGATCAGCTGTTGGAGGAAAAGTGTGGAGTTTACGTGCGTGCATCCTTACTCTGATTGGGGGAATAGAAGAAGCAGATCTGCCGAAGCCTATCAGGTTTCCACAGCTGTATCCTCTCATCTTTTTTTGTCAGCATATCTACATGAACAGACTATGAGGACTTTGGCCATTTGCTGGGGATTTCCATGGGTCTGGCAGCAGAAGCTCTGACTGGACTGCTAGATAGCAGAGATCTTGAGTGTGCTAATTGTGTGTATGCAAATTAACTCTGTCCTGCAGGCTTCCTGGACCTAAAACTCCATCACCATGTTCCAGCTGAAGGCCCCTCCCCAGTGTAAACAGCTCTTGGAAAATATTCGCTACTACTGCCAGGGTTCCCTTCCCCTACCAAGGGGTCCAGGTGCCCCTTGCACAGCCTTGTTCACTGTGAATCGTTCATGGCTTGAGGTCAGCATGAGGCTCACGCTACCCCTCAAGATCTGCAGTGAAACACTGCAACCACTACATCTGCCTTCCCACAGAAAAGTAGTAAGTGACAGCAGCTATCCTGTCCACAAAGAGCAAACTGAATGTGAATGCCCTGAGACTGTCAGCTCCTCTCCACCCCACCTGTTGTGTGAGAGGTGAAACAGGGAGATGTTATGTGAAACCATAGCCTGTGTATACTCACAGCTTAATGCCAGCTAGAAATTTCATGTGAGAGGCTTTCCAGAATGCCCATAGAATCTCCAGAAATTTAATAATACAACAGTTTTTCAGTACCTTCTTCACTGGACACCAGAAAACCAGAGCAAAATAACAACTAGCAGGCACAAAATGTTCTTAAGAGCATCCTTACATGCTTTGCTTAGAGCTATCAGTGGGAATTTAAGCACCTTATGTAATGGGCTTTCTCTTCTAGCATCTGCTCCTTTACAGCAAGATGATTGGTGAGGGAATGTATTGATTTAAGAGGAGGCATTTGGGGCCTTGACAACTGTCCGGCTTTATAGGAAGAGCCATGTCTACTAGGTCGAGGAGCAGGTCAGACTGATTTTGCAGAGTGCTAGCAGCAGCATTATCTCCGTAGGCTTATCTGCAGGGAGGAATCTTTACCAAAAATAACCCGTCCACTGTGTTAGATACCAGCATTTTTGCTATGTTTCAGGGATTTAAGTTGGACACCAGACAAGATTAAAGACCTTCTTACACTGTTGTGAACTCTTCACCCTGACTAATTGAGACTAACCTTTGGATGGCTTCTTGGATACACTGTGGTTTACTTTTCTCTCTTTTAAACATGCATACCATGAGGTGCACAGTCTGTATGTCTGATAAGCAGGAGGGCTTTGTAGAAAAGTTCTCTTACCTGTTGTAGAGAGGAATAATTTTCTGGTTTGGGCTTTTTAGCATCGCTTCTGCTGAGCAATATGTGGTGAGTAAGGCTTTAGATTTTGCTGGCAGTTTTGAGGTGCTGAAAGATTGAAAGCAGGTTCTGTCTCCTCCTGCTCTATTTTTTTTTAATCTGACCTTATTATTAGAGTAGTATCTGAATATCTTGCAGCTTCCCCTGTCATTCTGTAGTCAAGGCAAGGTGTGCCCAGGGAGATGGTACTTAGCTTGGCCCTAATGTGAAGCCTTTAAGCTGAATTTTTTTAAAGCTGTATTTTTTTAAAGCCACAGCACCCATGAAGAAGCAGGTAGAGAGGGGTCTGTTGGACCCACGTTTCTCACCCTTAATGCTGAAGATTGGGAGTAACCCCTTTGCAAGGGCCCAAAATTGCAGTTGCATTTAGGGGTTGGAGCCCACCACATGCTCCTCCGAGATGAACACTGTCAGGGCACTTCGCAGGGGACATTCTTCCCCCCAACTCAACAGCTGAGCCAGAGCATCAGCAGCAATGGAACCTGTTTTAAGAGCCATCTTGAACTAGTGACCCTCATCATTATCACATTGGCTGGGGGGGCTAACACAGAGCTAAATCATATCAGGCCAATCTTACAGGGATCAGGTTGACCAGTTTTATATTAAGCCACCACATATGTGCAGCACGTGAGTGGCTTTTTAAAGAAAGCCTCTTACTTCCCCTCCCCCCCCCCCCCCCCGGCACTTTTAAGGCTTATTTCTTTTGTCGCGTGTCATGGGGGCTGGCAGCAGGTTCAGAAAGTCTGAGCTCTCCCAGCTCAAGGTCATTGGGATTGTTTAAATATAATCTCCTTTTCTGTACTTATACTTTCCTACAACTTGCTATTCTGTCTTTCTAAAATTAAACTATTGAGCAAAAGAGTAGATTGGACTTTACATGCATGGCTAGGAAGGGGGCAAGCTAGCAGCAGGCTGGACCCTTTGTCAGGGTGTGTGTCTGCATGAGATTGTGCTAGGGATGCAGAGCAAAGTTCACAGTGAAGAACTGCCCTTTGCTGCTCAGTTGTGCCTTGTGTGAACCATTACAGCTTTTCATGGCAGGCCACACAATGAGTTGTAGAGCATAGACCTGCTTAAGAAAGTGAAACCAGGCAGCTTAGGGGTGATCAAGCCCTCCATAGTGATTGTGTCCTGCAAATGAATGAGACAAAGGAAAAAACGCCCTAACGCTTCTAAAAAGGTCAATGGTTTGGAATGTTTTGTAATTTTTAAAAAATTGTTGTCAAGGTTTTTTTCTGCAACCAGGAAGGCTTGAAAATTAAAAGTGAAAGCTGGGGATTCCTGGTTGCAGGGGTTTGATCTTTAAAAAAGAAAAGCAGTAAACACCATCAGACTTGCAAGAACAGGCAATCCTGGAGTTTAACTGTCAAGCTGCCATGGGACAGAGATGACAACTAAGTTCTCTGTGCCAGTAAACATTTGGTTGTGCTCCCCTCTGGGAATGAGAGAAGGACCTGTGAGGCTCTGAACACCACTGTGCAGGACCCAGGCCCACTCCATGAATATTGCAACACCCCATCCCTACCATCATTGGGCATTTGTACTGGTTGTGAGCTCAACAATTTTGTGCTTGTGAGTTGTGCCTTGGGAGCAGTGAGTGTGTGTGCTGTTACAACCAGGAGCTGAGCCTGGATGCCATTCCACATACCTCTTACAGTAGGGAATAGGAATTCCCCAGTTAAGCCTTGTCTATACTAGCACAACCGGGTGAGCTAATTTGGGGTAAGTTAAAATAGTCAGTTCCACCTTATTGATACAAATTGAAGCACACACTCAGTGTATATACCCAGTTTTTTCAGCCCAGAGGCCTAATAGCCCATTTCTTACTCCACTGAGGACTAACTGTACAGGTACAAGGTTCTTGTCAAAGGTGCGGTGTCATCTGCCCTAGGTAACTGCTGTACTTTGCCCTCCTTGTGCAAGGAGAACAGACAGAAGAGAACCTGACTGCATCCTGGCTACTTGAGTGGACACAGGCTTGCAGACCAGACAGATTTCCTCCTTTTTTTCTAGCCTCTGTGTTTTGGGGGTTTTTAAATTATTTTATTGGGATTTGCTTTACTGACTTTCTTGTGATCTCTAAACTGGGCAGGGAGAACCTTTTTCAGTACCTGATGTCACACTTGCTTTTATGAAGCAGTGTGGCTCACTACCATTTCTGCCAGCCCAAATGTTGTTTGCTGCACAGCCTTGATACCCCCCCTGTACCAGTCATTACCCTGAGTGTTAACACTGCAGATCAGTGGTGCTTGTCCACTCTGGATCCTGCCACAGAGCAGGCACTGGAGAAACCAGATCCCCAACTGTGCTGCGACCAGTCCCGTTCCAGCTGGCCCTGCATTTCAGCTGCTTGTGTTGGCCATTTAAAGCCTGGGTTATGGAACTGGCTGTGGTGGAAAAGCTGTGCTTTCCTGAAGAAATCTTAGTCTCTTCCACTTTACTGATTGACTTACTAATAGCTCTAATAAGTTACTGGTTACATTTGTGTCATGCAAAGGATAGGGAAGTGAGGTGATACTGGGTAACGTGACTTGGTAGCTTATACTGGGATCTGGAACGATGCTGCTGCTTAAAAGAGTGGCTACGTAATCTGGGTTGTTTTCTTAGTGGGGAGTGGTGGGGGTGAGGAAATGTTTCAAGATAATTCAAAAATGACATCACTGTAATCCCACTTATTCTAAGACCGTGTAAAAGCATGAAATGGGATAAATGTTTTTGTAAGAGACATGGGCTTTCCCTTATGCTTAATGGGTAAACATTAGCTTCCCTGCTCCAGGGCACAGGGGCACCTGTGGTGGTGCAGAAAACTTTCTTCCTTATTACACTAAAACTCGCTCCATGTTTGCCCCCAGTCACTGTCCCTTTTAGAGCTGATTGCGTCGCTGCGAGGCTGATGTCCTGCATCGCAGAACCGCCCTTGTGATACTGCTGAACAAAGATGCTTTTGTGAGCTGCCTGGCTGCGTGCAGGGGAGAGGAATTCAGGGGGTGCTGGAGAAATAACTAACTATAAGAAAGACTTGGTTTAATTCTGTTGTTATCAGCTCAGTTTGGTTGGGGATCTGTGTAAGCAAACCTGTACTGGCTTCATGCTGGAATATTTGAGTTGTGGAAACCCGTTCCAATTTCAACTCAGATGATCTGAACCCCTGGGGTTTTTTGTCCTTTGGAGTGTAATATTAGGTTAGGAACCCCAGGAGAGCAGATTTTGCACTGCTTTTTCACTGGAGTCTTTGTGCTTCCTGCATTTTACCCAAGTGGAAGTCATTCAGGAACAAACTTTTTTGGGGCAGCTTTACTCCTGCATCTTGGTGGTGCAGGTGTGCAGAAAAATGAATAATAATACCCAGCGTCAGGTGGGATATCTGTGCTTTTGTTATTCTGCTAATATTAATTATAGAAGAACAAGAAAATTTACCCCAACTTCATTGAACTCTGGCTCTACTATGGACCTGCTTTGTGCTTACTGCTCATTTCAATTCTTGGCCTCTCCTTGAGTCAGCTGTGTTTTGTGTTTCATCCGGTTCAGGGCAAGTGACAGAAGATGCAGGATGCATTTCTTAGACTTCTGCCCTTTCTTAATTTATTCTTTTTCTTTGCTCCATGCAACAGTTACTAAAAATGGGAACTATGTGATTACTCTTTGTGTTACCACCTACAAAGCTCCAAAGGTTGGGGCTGTTTCCAGCACTGTGTCATGGTTTAACCCCAGCCAGCAACTAAGCCCCACACAGCCACTCTCTCAATCGCTCCCCCCCCGGTG